TGCTAGTTTCTGTTTTTGAAACATAGTAATTTCTGTATAGCGATGAAATCATATTTTAAATCAGTTAATTTATAATATTTATGCTTTGTAAATTTCCATTGAATACTGTTTTGTAAAATTAAAAATATCAGTAAGAACATCGGATTGTATATCTTATATATCTTTTTTTTTATATATATATATATATATATATATATATATATATATATATATATATGAAGAAATATCGTTTTAAGGTGTGCTATATTTATGGGATAAAGTGCTCAATATCAGAGATAGAGCGTACGTAAATATAAATATATAAGTAGACATTAAAGTCAACACTTAGAGGCGACAGGCTGTTTCATGCTGGACGCAATCGTCACTGACGATTGCGTCCACCATGAAACAGCCTGTCGCCTCTGAGTGTTGACTTTAATGTTCACTTTATATTTATATATATATATATATATATATATATATATATATATGTGTGTGTGTGTGTGTGTGTGTGTGTAGTTTTATATATCAAGAACAGTATAGTGGAAATAATATGACAAAGTGGAAAGAGTCTATGCGTTTCGTTCTTCGGGATTTCATCGGACTAAATTTGTTATGTTGGTAGGATTACATATTACAGAGGGGGGTGCTGGGAGTTTAAAAAAAATTAGAATTTCTTCTTTCATTCCTTTTTTATTTAGAGTCTTTTTCTTTCTGTCACTTTTGTAAAAAGGTATTCCTCACTGTGATATTAGAAAATCTGCTAAGAATGGTGGAATCTTGTAAGAGCGAGGACGCAAATTTACTGACCTTGTGATCAAGGCACTTTCTAGATATTTACGTCGCAGTGCCAACAAATTTAATGCGATGAAGTCCTGAAGGACGAAACGCGTCTCAAGTGAACTTTTTCCACTTTGTCATGTATATATAAGTTTGAGACCACTCCTTGTATTTTTTTATATTGGCCCCCAAAGTAGCTGTTTTGTACTTTAAATAAGAGAAAATTATTATGCAAGGTTAAAAAAAAGTGAAATTATTATAACAAAATAAAAAAAACAAACTTTTAATGATTAAATTTTGGTCTCGTCAAAATATCCTTCTTCCGCCATGACGACTGCGCAACAATTTTTTGCTATTCGCTGCAAAAAACTCTTAGCGTATAAGATTGATAATTGATTCCATTCTTTTTTTCAATGATTCTGAGATCCCTTTTTCATTTTGTTTTTCACCCTTAAGTTCATTTCATGCTATTTCTGGGGGTGGCTTCAAACATTTCAGTACGTTTATATATATATATATATATATATATATATATATATATGTATACCTAATTAATTCATCGAGTCTGATAGAAACCTCAACAGGAATAGAGGAAGCACTGGACGGCCGTTTCGTCCTATAAATGGGACTCATCAGCAGTGCGCACCCACCACCGAGTATCGAAACCCTGACAGTTGGGTTGTCAAGCGAACAACATACCAAATGGGCCTCGGTGACGAAGAGATTCGAAACGGCCGTCCAGTGCTTCCTCTATTCCTGTTGAGGTTTCTATCAGACTCGATGAATTAATTAAATATCATTATCAAATCCTCCTACTAATTACTATATATATATATATATATATATATATAATTTCGTATGTACGTTATTTAGTGGAAAGCGCTCAATATCAGCGATATAGTTAAAATATTTAGTTGTATGGATATGAGTTTGTAACCCTGGGTTTCACGCTTTTGCGATCATCAGACAAACTAGTTTATTTTTTAAAAATGGATCTATTTATGCTCGTCTAAGTTTGGTGGTCGGAGGAGTAATTTATTATTGATGTTAAAGGATGAGAGAAATGTGCTATAGCTGTTTAAATTTCTTTTATCTTCATTTCCTATTTTCTTTCGATCTTCTTCCAAGATCATCTTCAGGGGTGTAAGTGGTACAAAACTGTATGTTGTTCATTAGTATAAGTATTTATGCAAAATTTGGTATGAGGCAGGCTGCAAATTCGAAACAACAACGAATCTAATACTGTAAACGCATAAGCATTTCAACTTTTCGCATCTAAATAAGATGACGCCAAGCGAACATCCATAGCTATATTGTTACACCTACAATCCTGGAGCATTTACCTTTGCAGACGTTAGCTATCTGATCTGGCTGGGGTGTGTCACGTCCTGTCCAGATAAGGTCAACAAGATGCAAAGGTTCGGGCTTTTAAACATCGGACAATAAAATAAAATAGAATCATATGTTTGTGTAGAACTCTTATGTTTAATTTTATTTTTTGTAAAGTAAGCTTGTACTTTATGTGTAAGTGACTTAACTTTTGCCGTAGAGACGAAAGTATTTCTTGGGTTTAATGCCCAGCTGCCTACTATCGCCACCTTTTTTCTGAACGTCCTTTTTTTTCTTCACCGCCCCAAATCTTTCCATCGCCCCATCCCTCAACACCATTAAGGCGGTACTGTCCACTTTTTAGATCGTGAAGATTTTCTTGTTGTGCACTGTTTAACAACCCGAACTTCTAAATCATTAGCAGTAAGCTCAAAATTTATTGGCCACCTGTGTGGCCTTGTGTCACAACTAAACTATTGCGTGTAAGTTGAGATGTCCTAGTTAGCTCTAATAATTAGACATCTAGTCCGGTTAAGTATTGCTACGCAAACAAAATGGCTTTTGACTTTGATCCACACTGAGTGGCCCTTACATGTGGCCTTGTAGCAAACAGGGTTTGGCAAGCAACAAATTTCTAAAACCGTCAGTCTACGGTAGTGAATAAACATCACAGATCGGAAATAACTTTGAATCCTTTTACATTGCAAATATTCGGTGGTGTGAGTTTGAGTCACTTTATTTTTGATTTGCTTTGTTTATTCACAATCTTAGACTAACGGACCTCGTAGGGCTGTAAAAAGAAACTGAAATTAAGACGAAAGAAATAATAGACAAATTTTAATTAAGTTTAATCTACATAAAACGCCTGACGATTGCCAGTGTATTCGATCCTCATGTGGCCATAGAAAACCTGACTTTATAGACACACACGTACACACATAGACATACAAGAGACGCTGTTTAAAAGATCGCTTGTCGTTGATAATTTTGTGAAACGTACAATTAAAATCGAAAGAATCTTATTAATTTGATTTTGTTCAAGTGACGCAAACCAGCTGAAAAGTGTCATTAAATTCGCTTCTTGACCAGAAAAATAACATCGTTGAGTTGAAAAGAATAAAAATGCAAAAAGGGAAAAGCGAAATGACAAATAAAAGAGAAACAATAATCAAGTGGAATGAAAACGTTTAAAGAAATCAAACAAAATCAACCGAACGGCTGAACGGAATTGAAATGGAATTTAACGTCTCGTCGGGTTGGGAAAAGAGTTTACAAGTTGCAAAAGAATTGGTGAAACAACGTCATTGAGATGAGAGCCTGACAGCAATTACAGTTAAAAAGGGGAAAAAAAATTAACACATTTTTCTTCGTTATTCTGGCGTCAGGAATTCAGATTTTTCTATTTTTTTTTTGTTTTCTAATTTTATTTCTATTGTTTTTTTTTTGTTACCTTTTTATTTCTTTCTTTTGTCGTCTTTTTTATTTCTCTTATTTTTTTGCCTCCGCTTTTTTATAGAATGAATTATAATTAGTGCAACTTTAATTTTTGATATGATTATTGTTCAGTTTCTGCCAATCTTTCGAAGTGTTTGTTAATGGTTTCTCTACCTTTCTTTCTACCTTTCTTTCTTTCCTCTTTTCCTTGTTCTTGTTGTTGTTCTTCTTTCATTATTATTATTATTATTATTATTATTATTATTATCATCATCATCATTATTATTATTCCTATGTATTTGCCTGTCTACGACAGATGGTGATCGTTGAAAACAGAGTGATACTAATTCCTCTCAAATTTCCAGCACCCTTCTCAGTATTCGCCTAAACACCAGTAACACCTCAGTCTCTACAGTCTAAACTCTCGCTCTACCTTCTAAGTAATTTGATTTCGATTCTAGTATTTTGGCCAGGGCTGCATGTGCATTATCTATTTTGTGCATGGTCCTTCTCTACCTCAGGACCCGTGTAAAGTCATCGTATTTTTTCAGTTTCTCACTCTTCTTCATGTTCACTTACTAGCAAAGACATGCTCACGGTCTCACAGATTTTTCTTTATTCATGAATATTTGTTTTACTTGTTCTAGAATGCTCGGTCTGGGTTGCTCGGTCTGGATTGCTCGGTCTAGGTTCCTTGGTCTGGGATGCTCGGTCTAGGTTGCTGGGTCTGGATTGCTCGGTCTAGGTTCCTTGGTAAGGGATGCTCGGCCTGGGTTGCTCGGTCTGGGTTGCTCGGTCTAGGTTGCTCAGTCTGGGTTGCTCGGTCTGGATTGCTCGGTCAAGGTTCCTTGGTCTGGGATGCTCGGTCTGGATTGCTCGGTCTGGATTGCTCAGTCTAGGTTTCTTGGTCTGAGATGCTCGGTCTGGGTTGCTCGGTCTAGGTTGCTCGGTCTGGGTTGCTCGGTCTGGGTTCCTTGGTCTGGGATGCTCGGTCTGCGTTGCTCGGTCTAGGTTGTTCGGTCTGGGTTGCTCGGTCTGGGTTGCTCGGTCTAGGTTGCTCAGTCTGGGTTGCTCGGTCTGGATTGCTCGGTCAAGGTTCCTTGGTCTGGGATGCTCGGTCTGGATTGCTCGGTCAAGGTTCCTTGGTCTGGGATGCTCGGTCTGGATTGCTCGGTCTGGATTGCTCAGTCTAGGTTCCTTGGTCTGGGATGCTCGGTCTGGGTTGCTCGGTCTAGGTTGCTCGGTCTGGGTTGCTCGGTCTGGATTGCTCGGTCTGGGATGCTCGGTCTGCGTTGCTCGGTCTAGGTTGTTCGGTCTGGGTTGCTCGGTCTGGGTTGCTCAGTCTAGGTTGCTCAGTCTGGGTTGCTCGGTCTGGATTGCTCGGTCAAGGTTCCTTGGTCTGGGATGCTCGGTCTGGATTGCTCGGTCAAGGTTCCTTGGTCTGGGATGCTCGGTCTGGATTGCTCGGTCTGGATTGCTCAGTCTAGGTTCCTTGGTCTGGGATGCTCGGTCTGGGTTGCTCGGTCTAGGTTGCTCGGTCTGGGTTGCTCGGTCTGGATTGCTCGGTCAAGGTTCCTTGGTCTGGGATGCTCGGTCTGGATTGCTCGGTCTGGATTGCTCAGTCTAGGTTTCTTGGTCTGGGATGCTCGGTCTGGGTTGCTCGGTCTAGGTTGCTCGGTCTGGGTTGCTCGGTCTGGGTTCCTTGGTCTGGGATGCTCGGTCTGCGTTGCTCGGTCTAGGTTGTTCGGTCTGGGTTGCTCGGTCTGGGTTGCTCGGTCTAGGTTGCTCAGTCTGGGTTGCTCGGTCTGGATTGCTCGGTCAAGGTTCCTTGGTCTGGGATGCTCGGTCTGGATTGCTCGGTCAAGGTTCCTTGGTCTGGGATGCTCGGTCTGGATTGCTCGGTCTGGATTGCTCAGTCTAGGTTCCTTGGTCTGGGATGCTCGGTCTGGGTTGCTCGGTCTAGGTTGCTCGGTCTGGGTTGCTCGGTCTAGGTTGCTCGGTCTGGGTTGCTCAGTCTGGGTTGCTCGGTCTAGGTTGCTCGGTCTTGGTATGAAAAACTTTTTTAAAATATTTTTTTATCAGAACAATGAACCTCATCAATAACTAGATGGGTAACCGCTTGGGAATAACAGGTGCTTATAAGCTCAGATGGGCTGTTGGTTTAATGGATAATGGCTCGGAATTGTTATTCGGAGATCATAGTTCCAATTTCAGTTGGGTTAGTTATATTCACTTACGTAAAAATACACTTGTGAAAGATATGCATCCACCTCTTCTTTTCCCCAGCTATGGGTTAATTAGTAAGGCTTGTATCACTAAAGTCATTACCACCCCTTCCCTACCCCCCCAAAAAAAAGTCATAGCAATTGATATACAGCTAAACGAACGTGGTCTGACATATTTACGTCTTCGTCATTTGAATCTCAAAACCGAATGTTTAATTCTCCATAACATATTCAGGTTTGAGTATATATAATTGGTTTTTATGAAAAAAAAAAGCAAAAAAACAAAAAACACATTCTGTTGCGCAGTTTCCAGTGAATCGCCTTTCCTACCCAGTTATGTATACTTTCGGAGTTAATTTGCTACCTTCGCTGATTACATTGGTTCCCTGTCTCATTTTCATTTCCACACAACAGTCCACATTTACTGTCTTTACTGCATTTTATTTATCTTTCTCTTCACTTCTTACCGCTGTTAAAAGAGAAGCAGTTATTCTATTTCGATTTCACTTCCATAAACTTATCCATTTCTTCCATTTTTCTTCTGAAGTTTCTATATATTTGTATTTCTTTTCATTGTTTAATTCTCATTATTGTGTTGCCGTGGTTTCTTTTTTTATCTTGTTGTTCATTTTAGCACATCTTTTGGCTGATGCGAGTTGTTTTTCTTGGTCCAGTCTTGTGTACTTTAGAAGTCTCTTGATTAGAATCGAAGAAATATTTGCTGCTCTCATATGACCTCTTTCTTTTCTTGTCTGTCGACATCGTCTCGCGGTTGGGAAGTTCTCTGGATTTATATTATATATTTCTGCCTTCCTTTCTTGTCCAGTTTAAGAAGTGTCTGGAGCATCCCATAATTGAAACTGCACAGTTCCTGTTATAGAAATTTGATATCTGATATTTGTATTGTTTTTCTCGGGTATTATTTGAAAACTCTTTTTCAACTTTTTCTGCTTGATACTATTTGATTTCACTATTTATTATTTGTTATTGTTTATTTTCAGCGTCTTTTTCTCCACCTCCTTGTTTAGCTGTAATAACAATAATAAGAGGCACGGTGGGAGGTATGGTAGAGTAATGGATAGCGGCTCGGATTGAGGAATCGGAGAGCCGACTTCGAATTCCAGTCGAATCCATTACATTCACTTGGGAAAGGTATGAATCTTTTTCTTCTCCCACAGCTATGGGTAAATAGCAGACCAGACCGTGTTCTATAACTTTGGATGGTAGCTGGTCTACTGCAGAAAGAAATGGCAACCTACTACTGGGAAAAAATCTGCCTTGTCAGTCATGTATCGAAAGATACATGATCGCCTACGTTGAAGTGAACAGTATAAAAATGTTTCATTTTATTAATACATTACTATATTTATTTGTAGCCAGAGTATTATTCATTGTAATATCTTAATCACCATTTCTATGAATTCGTATTTTTATTTATTTATTAGTTAATTAAAAAAATGGAAAGTGGAAATCAATAATTGCGCGTTCGTGCGAAGCGCCATTGAGGATTCCTTGAGTTTTCTGCTGGCCTCGCAAATCTAAAGAATGACGTAGTTTCTTCATTCAGAAGTAAAACAATTAGCGCAATCAACGCCATTTGACATTTCATTCATTAATTATACCTTGTTCCGTCTCCTTGCCGCCATTCACCATCATGATTTTGGGCGGGAAATCACTCTTTGTCCTTTAACAATGATTGAAAACATTTTCATCCGGACGGATGATTTGATACTCGCTGCTAGATTGCAGTCATCAGCACGACGTGTTTGATGTGAGAAAAAAGACAGAATCATGAAGTGAGAGTGGAAGAAGGAGACGGAGGGGGGGGGAGAGTGAGAGAGATGGGGGAAGGATAAAGGAACTAGATCAGAGAACGAGAGAAAAATGTCAGAAAAGAGGGTGGGGGAAAGAGAGAAAGCTTCGGATAAAAGCCAAGAGAGAGAGAGAAAGAGAGAGATAGTGAGAGAGAGCAAGCCAAGGATAAAAGCCAAAAGACAGAGAGAGAGAGAGAGGGAGGGAGGGAGAGGGAGGAGAGAGAGAAAGCCAAGGATAAAAAAGCCAAGAGGGGAGGGGAGGGGGGGAGAGAGAGAAAGCCAAGGATAAAAGCCAAGATAGAGAGAGAGAGAATGCCAAGGATAAAAGCCAATAGACAGAGGAAGAGAGAGAGAGGGGGACAAAGAGAGTGAGAGAGAGTGAGAGAAAGCCAAGGATAAAAGCCAAGAGAGAGAGAGAGAGAGAGAGGGGGAGAGAGAGGGAGGGAGAGAGAGGGGGGGGAGAGAGAGAGCCAAGGATAAAAGCCAAGAGAGAGAGAGAGAAAGCCAAGGATAAAAGCCAATAGACAGAGGAAGAGAGAGAGGGGAGACAAAGAGAGGGAGAGAGAAATCCAAGGATAAAAGCCAAGAGACAGAGGGAGAGAGGGAGAGAGAGACAGACAGACAGAGAGAAGGAATAAAAGAAACGAAAGGAAAAGCGGGTGATAAAAATGAGTGATAAAGGAAAGAAAGAGAAAGGAGAAAAGAGAGAAAGAAATCGAAATGAAAAAGCGAGAAAATTGAAAGGGACGAAGGAATATCAAGAGAAAATAAATAATGCAGGACGAGGGGGTGGCGAAACATGGAAAAAGAGAGTAAGAAGGAAGAAATGTAGAGAAAGTGGGAGAAAGTAAGAGAAAGGAAAGAGACAAAATTGAGAGGGAAAGAAAGAAGGAAACGAAAAAGGGAAAGAAGAAAATGGAGACAGGAAAGAGAAAAAATTCGAAGAAAGAAAAGTATGAACACATCTAAAAAAAAAGAAAAGTGAACGAAAGAGTAAATGAAAGAAAGAATGAAAAGAAAGAGAGTAAGAAGAAGAGAAAAGGAGGTGTAGAGAGGAGTTGAAAAAAAGAAATAGAGAAGGATAAGAAAAAGGAATAAAGCTAGGAGGCTGAAAAGAGGAAGATAGGAAAAGAGAGAGAAAGTAAAAGTCGAGTGAATAGGAGGTGAAATGAGTGTGGGGCGAGATGAATTGCTTTTAGGAAGAGAGAGAATGAGGAGAAATAAAGACCGAACAAGAGGAAAGAAAGAGTGGGTACTGGGGGGGGTATGGAAAAAGAATAACAATTAAAGATCGAAATAAAGAAAGACAAGAAGAACGGGAGCCAAAAAAAGAAGAACGAAAAAAAGAAAGAGAAGACGAATTCAATGAATGAGAAAGGGAAATAGAGTTGCATAGGGTACAAGGGAGGGGGGGATTAGAACAGATCAAAAGAAGAAATTAATGAAAACATGAAGCAATGTATATAAAGCTGAAGAAGAAGAAAAAGGAGATCTGAAACTTTAAGAGGTAAGCATCGTGAAATTGCGAGAGATTAAGAAAGATAGAAGCAGAGATATTTAGCGATGTAAAGGAAAGAATAAACGTGTAACGTGTATAAATATTGTCTTTGTGAATGTTTATGTGTAATTACACTTATATATATATATATATATATATTTAAAGATATTTTTGTAGGTACAAAATTTAATGATCGAAATAAAAGTATAAAATTTAATATTACAAGACATATTAAAACAATATTAATTAATAAAAAAAAAAAAAAAAACTCAACAAAAGGGGGGGAAGCAACCGGTTTGCCCTGCTCGTCAGGCTTCCACGGGAGATTCAATATTAAAACAGAAATGTACAATATGAATAGGTGGAAAAAAAAAAATTACGCATATATATATATATATATGTTTGTATATGCAAGAAGGAACTAGAGGCAGATGACAGCGAGTCCCAACAAACACTCACGTTGTTTGCCCAAAGAAGGCTTGCAGGACCCGATGTAAAGTGCCTCCAGAACCTTCAGGTGAAATACAGAGTGTGACCGGGCCAACACGGTGAACCAGTCAACACTAAATTTGGCGGCGCAATCTCTGCTATTTAAAAGATGTTCGCATATGGCGGAACTGTAGGTGTTCGGGACGAACACCTACAGTTGCTCCCCCCCACCTTGTTGTTGAGTTTTTTTTTTTTGTTTTTTTTATTAATTAATATTGTTTTAATATGTCTTGTAATATTAAATTTTATACTTTTATTTCGATCATATATATATATATATATATATATATATATATATATATATATATATATATATATATATAAGCGACAAAGTCAGAGGGGAAAATGGGTAAAGGCGTCAAAGAGAAGTTGAGAAAGATTAAGAGAAAAAGAAAGCGAGAAATAAATAAACGGTGTATGTGAAAGCGTTTGCCTATATGTGTCACTTCTTAATTGTATGTGTGGGTTGAAACATTGTGTTTAATGTAACCGTGTGTAACGGCCGTTCATTTTCTAAAAGCTTTGTGTAATCGGGCACCATCTTCATTTTTGTTTCGCGTCACTGATCAACCTTCTCTTACGGCCAACACTGAACGCCATTTTGATGACTGAGAAAGGCCGATAACTCGTGATGGAAATTTTTGTCAACCAGTCAAGCGCGAATATCTTCCCGCTCGAAATCATGAATGAGTGAAAATAATTTTCCTAATTCCTTTTTAGTGACACAGTTCGTTTCCCCGTCGACAACAGCTTGCAATCTTTTTACGTCTCATTGATTTTCAAATATTTTTTTTGCTAAATTTAATTAGAGTTTTATCATTTTTAAAACTCTTTACAGCCATTAAGAAATGCGTTCAAGTCCAAGAGAAAATGGAAGAAAACATGCCATCCAAATAGAAGGTTCTATCCAAACTTTTGCAATCTGATAAAGAATTAGCGCAACATTTAGTTTCGATTGTCTCTTCGCACTTCCGTGTTGATATATATATATATATATATATATATATATATATATATATATATATATATATAATTATGTTCCGAACATCGCTTGAAGAGGAAATTGTCATCCAACAGTTAAGGTTTAATATTGAAATTAAACTTGAATACGGGTCACCAGTTTCGAAACATAATAATTTCTGTATCGCGATGGAATCATATTTTCAAAAAAAAAAATACTTATAATTTAGGCTTTACTTCTGTATTGAGCACTGTTTTTTTCAATAAAACAAAAAGACTACAGAACTTCGGATCATCAATCTAACAGTTCTTTCCTATTATATCAACACACACACACACATATTTATATATATATATATATATATATATTTGATAATTGCTCTGAATGAAGAATTGGAGAGCCGAGTTGGAATTCATTATAGCTCCTTACGCGCAAGTACACTTGTGAAATGTATAAATATATCTCTTCGTCTCCCTCTAGCTATGGGTTAAATAGTACGGCAGTCTGAGCTCTTTAGTGTTCATTGGCAACCAATTTAAGAGAAGGAAAAATCTGAATTCAAAAATTAAGGAGGGTGGTTTCGTAAACTTGTGGCACATTATATGCACCAATTCTTTAGATTCGGTTCTTCTGCAAAACGTGGTTGACTCTGCACAAGCCTTCACTCAATCTGTACACTGAATGGATCCAGCCTCCGCGACACATAGAAATGGCTTCACCCAAATTATATATGTTCGATGTAATAGGTAAAGAGCTGGTGTAGCTGTGGCAACCATCGGACTCTCCTAGGATTTTATACCGTGTAACCGCAGAATGGCACCATAAAAATCGGGTATATTTCCAAGATGGCAGCTGCACTTGGTTTTTCTCGAGCAAAAGTAACACGGATATGAGAAAATAATAGAATTTAAAAAAGACAAAAATGGCTCGTTAAAACGCACAATTGATGCAAGATCGGGCCATCTGATAATTCTAGTAAAGTCTAGTAACCATCTATTAAAGATGGACATTACATGGAATTAAAACAAATTCAAATTTGGCGCTGCTCAAAAAGCATTCTGATTGCCCAACAAAGACACCTCTTTTTACATCATAGCATCAGTTAATGCGCGCGAGAACTTCATCAAGAACCATTGTAGCGTCGAAGACTGGTTCCTTGTCGACTGGACAGATTTCATGTTTTCAACCCTTAAATTCCTGTCTAGAAGAGATCGCAGATTGTCAGCAGAGAGTTGTGCAATCTTGCCATCTAGGCACTCTCTAGACATTTTCGTTGTAGTGAATTGTTTCTCCTTTGATTAGAGTAGCATTTTTGATGTCATAATTGTGCCCAATCTCATTATGGTGGTCAACCAACTTATTTGACGTATTGTTTTGTAAAATGTCGTTTTGTTTACATATAATCTTTTATTTAGATTCCTTGAGATTTCTTCTATGTATTTTGGTGACAATTATTACAGGCCATGGAGAAAATTCATTCTTTAACTTTTAATGTATTGTTTTGTTTAGTATTGACTAAGTCTTTTATTGTTTTAGATGTGATAGGAACAAATCCTATATTCTTTCCAGTTGTAGGTGATAGGACAATATATTATATATACAGGATGTCCCCACAAAATTGACATTATTTAAAATGTAAATAGCTGAATAACTACATGGCCTAGCCAAACGAAATTAAATAGGATTCGTATTAAACAACAAAAGATGTATTTATCAAAATTCGAGAAAGACATTCAAAGGGATGTAGATTTTATAACCGATTTCACAAATCTACACAAATGTTCAATATACGCATACTCGTGATAAGACACACGTCAAGTTGGTAGTCCAGCTCCTGCCATAAACGCTGTAGCATGTCTTTAGTAACATTCTCCATCGCCCCATTAATTCTCTGCTTAAGTTCCTTTGGAAGTGGGAGTATATAGACTCGTCCTTTCACAGAGCCCCATAGAAAGAGATCACAATGTGTTAAGTCAGGCGAATGGGGTGGCCATTTCAGCATTTGAAAATTACTAAAGAAGTAAATGAAAGTGCTTGGGATAATGGTTAATATGGACAATTCTGTACTCCCTTACACCCATCAAACAGTAAACGTTCAGGACGCTGGAAAATTTTTTTAAAAAATATTAAATTTTCCTTGACTGTTATATTGAACAAAAGATGATTAAAAGAAAGGTTTCTGTCCAAATATAAATTATAATATATATATATATATGTATAGTAAAAGAGGAAAAGTGTTTATACCAAAGATCTTTGAAAGCGTTCTTTGTGCTGCCAATATAAAATTTTTAGATCCTCGGATTTTCTATTGAGGATATAGAACACATATACACAAGAGATTTAGTCAAGCATTTGTTAGACAATGGGCACTGATTAGGATTTCTACAATTACAATGGTTACCTTCCTTAACCAAATAAGAATTAGTACTTTCATTATGATTATTATTGTTAAATTGGTTAAGTGTTTTATTGTTGTGCAAATTTATTATTTTCTCAAGTACAACTATAGCTAAGTTTTAATGTATTCTTATTAAAAATTTTACTAGGTGGATTGCTTTATGGAAAATGTTTGTTAATTAAATTTAGTAACTTATGATCTAGCTTTGTATTAACTAACTGGTTAAATGAAGGTGTGTACCAGATGATTCTCCTGTTTCTATTACTTTTCTTAGAACAAGCATTATATTCCATAAACTGAATTTCAGAGGACTTATACTCACTATCGCTAAGAACTTATACACAATTTTATGTTTCTCAAAGACCTCTTTGTTAGAAGTGTGTTGTCAAATCCGACTTTCTACAGAGGAAGGAACGTGTCGGATTACAGACAGTGGATGATTTGAATTCGGATAAATATGCATTGGGTTGGCATAATATATATATGGATCATATAAGGCTGAAAATTTACATAGACTAAATTAAATGTTACATCTAGAAAATCAACTTGTTTGATATTAGTACTTATTTTCACGTTAAGATCTAAACTCTTAAATTCCCTATGAATTAATTTCCTAAGTTTATCAACTTTAATTCTCGTAGAGTTTTTAAACATTATGAAACCATCATCCCTATACAGCCCTATACTATCTAGAGTAATCTCTTCATGAGCCGTGAGACTAAACAAAATAAATAATCCAACCAAATCAGAAGATTTCGCAGAATCCAAAGATCCCATACAAATGTCAAAGTTATCGTTAGAAATTTTTACCTGCTGTTTTTTTTTTGTAGATGAGGAATGATTTCCTACAATTCATAATGATGTTTTTATATTTCAATATTTCAGAGATATTTCGTTGGTATAAACACCTTTCCTCTTTTACTAATGCTATTTATCGACATAAAACTTCACTTTCAAAATATTTTTGGAAGTTAAATGAAGAAAATCATAACCCTAAAGATAAATGGAATATTTTAAAACTAGCTAGAACAAGTAGATCCTTATATGA